CTGAAATTCTTTCAGCTAGAAGCATTTGCCGAAAAGACCGATGCCGGTAGCGACAAGAACTGCGGGTAACTCTGCAAAAAACGCATCTTCGCACGGGCAGCCCGTGCGTTGGCCAATTTTTTCATAAATGGCACGTACGAGGCTGCACTGACGATTCCCATTACTACTCGCATCAGATGCTCTGTCTGTGTTTACACCTAAGGGATGAAACGTAGAGTGCAAATTTACCTCTGCATTAGGATATATAATTTTCCAACAATCTTGCAAGATATGCTTCATTTCTTTGTGAGATAGTACAGCTACGACCCCTATGGGAGGCATAACGAATGTCAGAATCGCCAGCAATCTGACCACCGAGCAATGCAGAATTGGTCAAAGCGATTGGAAAAGTTGTCAGCTGCACAGAATTAACTATAACTTTGAGGAAAAATGGAAAAAATGATGCAATGGAGATGAAAGCCGAGTTTTGGCATGTTTTTTAACATTGTAAAATCTCCTGACGACGTCGAAAAACGTGTTTGTAAATGCGAGAAAGTGAGGGGCAAAATTTTACCTTTTGCTTCAGTAAGAGTGTATATAACTCAATGGACCAAAATATTTCTTTCGAGGTATTTATTTATTTCTCTTTCATATCATCCATTTTTTTACCTTTTTTTATTCACATATTTTTCTTCCATTATTTGTCCATTACCTGTTATTCCTTCTACTACTGTAATATAAAAACCAAGGCCTTTTTTTCCAAAAATTTTTTTGCTTAAATGAGACGAAATTCCCAGAAAAAGTCGAAATTAACTCGAAAATGATAAATTTGGTCAAAAAAGGTGTAAAACCCCCAAAAATGAAAAAATTAACAATGCATTCTACCAAAAAATACATCTCAAAAGTGCACAAAATTCCAAGAAAAAATGTATGAGACTTGCAAAAAACAAAAAAAAAAAAATCAAAGAAACATAAATTTTACTGAAAAACACAAGCAAAAATTCCTGAAAACACAGTGAAAAAAAACATATCAAACGTTAAAAAAAAATGTAATTTTTTTTGACCTAAATTTTCTCAACTGCTTTGCTCTGCGTCCATGAGCGCATTCCTTCTAGATCAACCAGGTGTTTCTTCTAGCTACTCAGACGAAATTAAGGTCAATGACGACAGGACAATAAATGATCGAAACGAAAATGAAAAAACAACAGATCGTGTATTAACGAATCGAATGCTTGGAGCAATTACTCGAATCAGACACCACTTTACCTGCATTTCTTGTGATATAAAAGTGAATTGCCATTCAGATTTTCCCTTGTAACACTTTAAAGGCTGGACTGGGATGGTCTGAAGATTAGTGGCGAGCAGCTAAATCACCTAGTTATCTCACGGAAGACATAGTTCTTACTGCAAGCAGCCCTCAAGCGATGAATAAGATGCTGCAGGAGCTCAACGCATGAAGCATTGGTAAAACAAAGTAAGCATCATAGATGCCAAAGAGTTGCAATTTTGTGGCAGCAACCCACTGAGGTACATGAAATTACAAAACAGAAAACAACTTCCATTGTTTCCGAATCTGTGGTTCCAAACTGAGGCTAGTTAATTTCATCCTTGAAAATTATTCGAGATTATTTCCTTGATGAATCAGAGTTCCCTTCACGTGGTACTCAAAACCAAGTGATTTTTACCACATGCTTTTGGTTGTACACAGAATTATCCTCTGTTTTTTTTTTTTTTTTAAGCAGTTTTTATACTCAACAAACAACAAACAGACAAAAAAATCACAGAGCACAGAGATTTTTCATAAGATAACAGAAACTCAAAGACTTCGTTCCATTGGCGTCTCTTCGTCACTTTGATCGGACACAATGATCGTCCCGCGACGTCGCGGTGCTCCGGGGCAAGGAACGGGAATAACATTCTCCGGTGTACTCATACCGGGCAATGATTCCAGCGAATTCATTGCCGGCAGCGCACTCGGATCATCCTCGACTGCAACCCTGCAAACAATCAGTGTAATCCGTGGAAATCATCCCTTGAAATTAGGGATATAAGTAAAATAATTCTTTTCGTTTCAGGATTTTGCGAGGGATAAATAGTGGGAAAAAGGGCTTTTGGAAGATCCGGGCAATGCGGGGATCTCATATATTCAGGATTTCTCAGCTTGCTAAGATGTCGGCACTGTGATGCGAACAGATTTGTGCTGAATTTTCCACAAGAAAACTTCCTGATCATTCGATTGATTAGTGACCAGTGGTCAGTTTTCGTTACTACAGGTAGATATCATTGAATTGTATAATAACAATTCTGTCTAGCACTTCAAATTTCATGGAATTCCACCGGCAACTGTAGTTTTTGAAGTCTTGAAGAAAGCAGACATTTTAAGTCCTGGTTAATATCCACCATCCAAATCCAGTCGATTTCAACTTTCGTCTAATTTTTATGCAAATCAGATATAACTTCCTAGTTCGAGTCTTATATGTTTCTTACATTTCTTCTTTTTTACAGCGTTCTCATTGCTACAGAGATCTTTAAATTTATCCAACGAGGCTCAGCGCACCAAATCCAGTTGTATATAATGAGGAAGCTTATCAACAAGGCATTTTAAGTCCTGGTCATGTCTACTATCAGAATCCAATCCATTTTCCTGATTTGTCGCTTAATCTCCTTCTCGTCAATTTTTCAAAACTCACTGCTGCATTGATTTGCCGCATACTGCACTCTTCTTTTTTCAAATTTTTTGTTATTTTACAAAAAATGCCAAAAAAAAAAACATGGAAAGAAAAAACAGGAAACAATCCGGTTACCATCGTGCTCCAAAAAAGAGGGAATTTTCAAAAAAATGGCGAAAAAAAGGTATGGAAAGGAAAAACAGGAAACAGACTGGTTTCAATCGTGTCCCAAAAAAGAGGAAATTTTTAAAAAATGTCGAAAAAAAACAAGAGAAAAAAACAGGAAAAAAATCGGTTACCACCGTGTTCCAGCACAGGCGGAAAATTGGAAAGATTGAGGCATAAAAATTTTTGGCGTGGGAAAAAATGCAAAAAAGTATGCCATGCATTGCAGAAAAGGCAAAGCAAGCTGGAGCAGTGTAAGATAAAGTTTAAAAAATGCAAATTTTTATACCAATGGAGCAAAAAAAAAGAAATTTAGTCACAAAAATTATTAGGAGCAAATTCAGTGCAGTAGTAGTAGCGACAAATTACAGCAAAAAATTGAATAAATGTTAGATTGCTAAAAATTTTTTTCAAAAATGTTACAATGAAATAAACGCGTAAGGCATTCACATCAAAACTGAACTTTAGCAAAATGGGAGGGTTGGGGGGCGCTACAACAAAAAACCACAAAAAATACGTCCTGGGAAAAGGAAATCCACAAAAAAAAATACGTCCGGGAAGAAGGAAATCCACAAAAAAAGACCGGAGAAAAGGGCAAAAAGCGTGTGGTTCTAGTGGCAGCAGTAAGGCAGAACAAAGTACAGAAAGAAACAAAAAAAGTACTCCAATTGCTAGAATTGGAGCGCAAGAGCCGGCAGTGTAATGTTTTTAACTATGGCACAACTCGAAAGACCTGGAGATGCTAGTGAAAATGAGGCACTACGCCCAAAACTTTCAACGCAAACCACTGCGTTCCTCTTGTAGCGGCACGTAGTTACGATATGGGCAGATGACAATTGGTGTATTAGACAAAGGGACGAAGGGCAGCACTTGAAGCGTTTAGTCGACGATAACAAGCTTAGCCGACCGCTCAGCTTCCACACAATGTTTTTGAATGCTCAAAAAGACGATTGTGCGCTTCTTCCGCTTTGGGAAGAATCCCGCCCATGGTCTGTCCCTCCTCCCTCGGCCAATGAAATCCTGCTAACAAGGATTAATAACGTTAGCCTTCGGCGGTTGGGAAGACCAGCAAGGATCAAAACAAGGTCAGCGATGGCTTGTGTTGACCCCAGACGACACAATAACAACAGTTTGCTGCTTGTAGCGACACCTCTTACTCGTTGCAGCCAAGGGCTTTTCGTTTAGTGTTCAACACGTGTGTGTGTGTGTGTTTGCTTTTTATTTCTACTTTTTTTTGGCTCTTTTAAACGAGTATAAGCCGAGCAACGGTTTAGTATAAGTCTTCTTCCGCTCAA